TGTGAGGAACATGGAAGGAAAACGATCTAGATTAGATAATTTAGGTTGTGATCTGTACTGCGGCGTACGTCGGCCGGCCGCAGAGAAGGGGTCACTATCAACGGGTTGGGGTAAGACGTCCCGGATAGATGTACCCTTCTGCTGCGCTTCCCTTGGAAGTGAGGCTGGTACTACACTTTCCCACTCCTCAAACCGGGGATTTTTGATGTTATGGTGATTATCGGTGTAGGTGCTGATGTTGGGTTTGGGCTGTGACATGGGATTATTGTGGTTGTGATGGTCCATCAGGTGGTGGATTAGGTGATTTGAAATATTCTTGTCTCGTGTCGGAGTCGGATATATCCACCGTTTCCATCGATGGTTGACTAGTTGTGTGTCTCGTTTTTATCGGGCTTCTCGTGTAGTTTGATGCTTTCTTCGACGGTGGTGACATGCCTGAAGGTTGTTGCTGTTGAGTGTAGGACTGGTTCGTTCCTCGTTTTGTTTTTTTCTTGCTTCCTTGAGGTTCTGGTTCACTGGTTTGTGACTCCGTTCGTACCCTGTTTTGCGCGCTTTCGATGAATTTCCGCATGTTCTTGTGCTGTGCTTCGAGTTTTGCTGTTCTCGTGTCTCTATCTCGGATTATTTCCAGAAGTTCGCTGATCCTATCGTCCTTTTGCTTGTTTTGTTCGATGATAATGTTGAGTTGGTTTCTGAAGTTTTGGGAAGAACATCCCTACAGTTGTACTGCCTTCAAATAATCTAAAAAAAATCTTTAAAGTTCAAAGGAAGAACTTCTTCTCCAGTTCAGGGAAGAAGCTCCATGAAGTTTTGAGAAAAACGTCGGTCAAGGTCTGGGAACAACTGTTCTGAGAAAAACTTTTCTGAAGTTCTAGAAAGAACTTCCCTATAGGTCTGAGTAGAACCATGGAGGTAACTCTAAGACCAGAAGCTCCCAAAGAAGCGGGCTCAGCTCTGGTACTCGTTTCGGTCCCAAGATAAATCGGTGCACCCCTCGAAACATAGGAAAATCCACTTAGTGTAGTACTAGAATTCAGACTAGAATGGTGTACGTTAATCGATTTGCTTGGGACCAATAGGCTAGTCAAGAAGTGAGCCAATTTAAAATCGTTAGTTTCCACCGGTTGGTAGAACTTCCTTCAAGTTCGTGGAAAATCTTCCCTTAAGTTTTTTGACGATATATACTGACGTTCTGGAAAAAAAACTTCCTTTGAGCTCTGGGAAGATTATTTCTGAAGTTCTGAGAAGAATTTTCCTGAAGTTCTAGGAAAAACTTCTCCCAAGTTCTGGATAGAACTTCCCTGAAGTTTGAGGGAAACTTCCCCGGAGATCTGGGAAGGACTTTTCTGAAGCTTTGCGAAGAACATCCCCAAAGTTCTGGGAAGAAGTTCCATGAAGGTTTGAAAAAAGCTTCCCTCAATGTCTAGGAAGATTTAACTGGATTTCTGAAAAAAATCTTTTCTGAAGTTCGAGAAAGAACTTTCTGAATGTTCTGGGAAGAAATTCCCTGAAGTTTTTTGACGAACTTTACTTAAGTTCTAGAACGAATTTCCCTGGAGCTCTAGGAAGAGGATTTGCAAAGATCTGAGGAGAAATGTTTCGGAATTTTGGGCAAAACTTCTCTCAAATCCTGAATAAAACGTCCCTGGAGTCCTGGGAAGATCTTTTATGTATCTCTGAGTAGGACTTTTCTGAAGTTTTGGGAAGAACATCCCTCAAGTTTTACTTCCTTAAAATTATCTGAAGCATTTCTTTACAGTTCTGTTAAGAAGTTCCATGAAGTTTCGAGAAAAATTTCCTTCAAGGTCTGTGGAGATTTTACTGGATTTCTAAAAAAATCTTTTCTGATGTTCGAGAAAGAACTCCCTCTATGTTCTCGTAAGAAATTCCCTGAAGTTTTTTGACGAACTTTACTTAAGTTCTGGAACGAATTTCCTGGGAAGAGGATTTGTAAAGATCTGAAGAGAAATGTTTCAAAATTTTGGGCAAAACCCAACTAATAATTTTAGCTGCAGACTAGCTTATACAGCCAAAATTTGCCTTATGCAGCTAGTTTCTGGCTGTACAAGCTGAGTTGCAGCTAAAATTGTTTGTTGGGAACTGCTCTCAAATTCTGAATAAAACGTCCCTGGAATCCTGGGAAGATCTTTTCTGTAGCTCTGAGAAGGACTTTTCTGAAATTTTGGGAAGAACTTCCCTCAAGCTTTACTTCCCTAAAATTTTCTGAAGCATTCCTTTAAAGTTCTGGGAAGAAGTGCCATGAATTTTCAAGAAAAACTTCCCTCAAGGTTTGAGGAGATTTTACTGGAGTTCTGAGAAAATTTTTCTGAAGATCTAAAAATAACTTCCTTATAAGTCTGGGTAGAACTTCCCTTAAGTTCATGGAAAAACCTACCCTGAAATTTTTGACGATCTTTACTGAAGTTTTGGAAAGAACTTCTGAGGAGAATTTACTTGACGTTCTGGGAAAAATTTCTCTCAAGTTTTGGATAGAATTTCCCTGAAGATTTGGGGAAGAACATCTCTGATGAACATCTCTGATGTTCTGGATAAAACTTCCCTGGAGATCTGGGAAGAACTTTTCTGTAGTTCTGAGAAGGAGTTTTCTGAAGCTTTGGGATGAACATCCATAAAGTTCTGGGAAGTTTTGGAAAGAACTTCTTTTATATTCTGGGAAGAACAACCCTAAAGATCCCAGGAGTTCTGGGAAAAACTTTACTAAAAATCTGGGAAAAACTTCCTTTTAGTTCTGGGAAAAACCTGCCTCAAGTTGTGGATAGCACTTTTCTAGAATTATGGGGAAAAAAATTCCCGAACTTCAGAATATTTCTACAAGCCTTCAAATTTAATTCTGAAGATCTTCAACTGTACAGGAATTCAAACAGCGTTTCTAAGATATCCATTCGTGATACCAGTATGATAAGAAATTATTTCAAAAACCTACAGATGATCAGGGACTTCTCTGAAATCCTCAGGATATTTTTTCAAGTTTTCAGGTTCTTTAACAATTTAAATCAAGTCTCTCTGATTTTTGTCTATGATACTAGGATGATCAAAAATTATTTCAATACCCAACAGATGAACATAGGACTCCCTGAAGTCCGCGGGATTTTTTTTTTCAGGACCTTAAGTTGATTCGGTATTATTTTAAAGATTTTGTTAAGCTTGCAGACTGCCCTGTTATTTGCAGAGATATCAGAAGCAGATTTTACTGAAGTTCTCTGTAATTGGAAGAATACTCTTAAAGATCGCAGAATTTCCGTGAAGCTCGCCAACTTTCTATAATTTTGTACTATTTTCTGAACTTTTATGATGGATCCTGTATTATTTTTTTTTTTTTGACAAAATGACAAAAAACATGATATGTCTTCAAAATATCTGCGGAATGTAAAAGTCTTCTCATAATTCAAAATGCATTCAAAATGAAGATCTGCCTTCAAATCTGGCATCCCTGGTTCTTAGAAGCACACTTGTTGCAAAATGGTTGTGGAAACTTGTGTGTAACTTATGTTATCACCATCGACTATGTGCTGCAACTTTCTGCGACGGAAGTGCGCTACTGCAAGATCAATAGTAAATCATGAATTCAAGGTTTCCAAAAACGATAACTCATTTTATTTATGATTCACCCAACATTGTTCGAAGGAATTCTGAGCCAGTCACCGTGATAACAAACAAACACTCCCCACCCCCTCGAAAAAAATAAGAAAACGCATAAAAATATGGAACACAATTCGAAGCAGAGCGTCCGGTGGTGCAAGAAGACGGTGGATAGTAAAAATTCCACCTATGTAGGTATCAATAAATTATGACGATGTAGACGTCGTCATCGTCGTCGGCAGGGAACGACATTCGGCGCCACGGTAGGTGCGGGATCCGGAAAAGCATGCGCCGGGAGAAAAATTGATTGTCTCGTCACATAATCAACTGTGCGGAAATTCGATAGAGCAGTGATCATCGGGAAGAAGACTGTTGTATTGTTTGGAATTTATCCGATAAGCACACTCGAATCCTCTTACGTATTTATGAACGTATGGCTGGGTGTGGATATTGGAGATTTACCGTGACAGTCATTTTATGCGGAGCGAATTTTCAACGTTATGTAAATTGGAAAAAAGATGCAGAAAATAAAGCGGAAAACAATAGCTGCTGGCAATCAGAGTTACATCAGAAGATGAGAACCGGGAAATCCAGTTCTGCACTATAGGCTGTTGTTAACGAGTTCTACGTACCGATGCCGATCCAGGGAAGGGAAGGTGACTTTCTGCAACTTTTATAATCGAGAATGGATTTCCACTTTATATTGGAATACCCACACCTGGCTGATGCCAAGCTGCTGCCAATCAGCTTCAAAAGAACGTTCAATTTCCTGTCAACACCCCCCACGCCACTCCGCTCTAAACTCGGATTTGATGCTCTCGATGGGATCGCTTGTCCTGATGGTGGCACCCAGTCCGGAACAAAAGATACGAATGGTAATTAAAATCTCTCGGTGAAGCAAATACCCTCCGGAGGCATGGGAATGCCGAAGTGAGCTGCGCTCGATGAGGGAGATGTAATATCCTTGATGTGAATGTTCTATGCAAACATCAGCGCGCTGGTTCGTTGGGGAAATGGCAAAAAAGCAATACGATGTTTACTGTTGCATCCGATCGGAACATCCTGGGAGATTGAAATGAAACGAAGTCAAGCATTCATGGTTGAACGCCGTCTCGCAGAATGAGGCTGCCTCAATTGACAACACTCCTACTCACCTACCCAGCGCTATGCAGCAAAAAACCTACGACTACCGAGGGCACGACAAGTGCTTATATTTTTTCCCTATTGTTCCATTGGTGAATACCGGAACTCTGTTTTTCCCTTCTTCGAACCCGTTTTCCCACATTGCCACGACAATAACAACCGATTCGTAGAAGAAGAAGGGGATTACCGATGACACCTTTTGGTTGTTGATGTTCAATCTAGAATCGGCAGGCAGAGGTTACGGCATCGGTACTTACACTGAATCTTCATGGTGATGGAGGAACTGCGGGTTTCGCCCTCGGTGTTGGAGGCGGCACACGCGTATCCACCGGCACTTTCCCGCTCCAGCTGGGTCAGGTGCAACGTTTCGCCGCCCTCGCCGGACATTCGCATGTTCTGGAAGAGAATATAAGAGGGAAGAGGTGAGTTAATCTGCTTTAAGATTTCTCGCTTAGCATGTCAAAAGAGTCCCTCCTGTTCGTAGATCAATTCTTTTCAATGGCTTTCTCTTTGACTTAGGGGTACTGGGGGTAAGACGGACAGTGGGGGTAAGACGGACAGTTGCTTGTTTGCATGTTAATCTTTTGATTTTTTGAAAAATTATCACACCCACCCTTCATTCACAACATTGAATGCCTTTCGAGACATCCTGCTATGTGCAGGAACTGTCAAATGTAAAAATATAAACAAAAACAAATCTAGCTTGCTCGCGCAACGCAGCGATGTTAATTTCGGTGTTGAATTTTTAAGGTTTTTCTGCTTATAAACAGTCAAATACATAAAAAACGTGTTGTCATTCTGTTCCTGGTTCAATTCCGGTTGTTTTGTTGGATGAAGTAAGTAGGTAAATTTTGTTATCTGGAGTGCGTGCACTGGCACTTTCATAAATAACTTACCAGTGGGGTGATTCGGACAGTCTCTCCCGGGGCAAGACGAACAGTGCTGATATCTTATAATACGCAGTTTATATTACAGTGGTTTAATTTTTTTTATAGATGCCGCGTGTATACAAGCGTAAAACAAGCCGGAAGTCCTGGACAGAAGCGCAATTAGCTACAGCTAGGCATGCCATCGATTGTGGCATGTCCGTGTATGGAGCTTCTGCGAAGTATCAGATTCCACGAAGTACTCTCATCCGGCGGATCGCCTCACCAGATGTGCCCAAGAAGATGGGACCGAAATCTACTGTTTTCACGCTTGAGCAAGAACAGGAACTTGTTCGGCACCTGCATGATCTGGAATCGCGGTTCTACGGAATTAATATGACGGACGTGCAGAAGCTCGCGTATGAGTTGGCGGAAAAGAATGGGATACCCCATTCGTTCAACAGAAAAAAGCAGCTAGCGGGACGAGACTGGCTTCACGGATTTTTAAAGCGGAATCCAACTCTATCCTTCTGCAAACCGGAAGCTACATCTACGGCACGTGCCAGAGGGTTCAATAAACCCTCTGTGAATGCTTTTTTTGATATGCTGGAAGCAACATTGACCGACAAAGGGTTCCCGCCTTCGCGTATATACAACGCAGATGAAACCGGGATCAGTACCGTAAGCTCTTTTACAATTTTCTTATTATTGAAACTTACACTTACTGTAATATTTTAGGTCCCTCCCAAGAAACAGAAAATAGCAGCAAAAAAGGGGAAGAAGCAGGTGGGTTCCATCACGTCGGCAGATAGAGGAGACACGACATCAGTAGTTATGTGCATGTCTGCGGCTGGTCATCACCTGCCACCCTACGTTATATTTGCTAGGGCACGGATGCACGAATCGTTAAAAAAGGGAGCGCCAAGTGGAACCAAGTTCTCTTGTAACCCTTCTGGATACATGACCGCAGATATCTTCCTGGATTGGTTTGAGCACTTCCTGGAAAATGTGCACCCAACTGTGAGCAATCCCGTTCTTTTGATCATAGACGGTCATAGTTCGCATACGAAGAACTTGGCGTTCGCAGAAAGAGCTCGAGCGAATTTTGTAACAGTGTTGGTTTTACCACCACACTGCAGCAATAAAATGCAGCCACTCGACATCTCTTTCATGGGGCCGTTTAAAATCCACTACGCGAGTGCAGCAGAAGCCTTCATGCGGAAATATCCGGGACGTAACATCGGTCAATATGACGTAGCCGAATTGATGGGCACTGCGTTTGTAAAAGCCGCCACTACAAGCGTGGCCATCAACGGTTTCAAAAAGTCCGGAATATGGCCGGCAGATCGAACAGTATTTCCAGACGAAGCCTTCGCGCCATCCGAAGTGACCGACCAGCCTGAAGCAACTGATTCAACGGATGTGCAACATTGTGGTACGCCTATGCAAAACTCGGCTATCGTCGTGTTGAACGACTCGGCCGAAGAACAACCATATACAGTTGGTACTTATTCAGGTAATCCCGAAAACAGAAATAACGCCCTGAGTCAAGTTTCTGAAACTCCTCCGAAATCTTCGTTCGAGGTGTCACCGTCGCAGATTCGTCCGCTACCAAAAATGGCAGTACCGAGAGCATCAAAGAGAAAACGCAAATCAGAAAAAGCGGTAGAAATCACTTCTGGACATTATCGCCAAGGTCTAGCAACAGCTGAGGCTTTGAAGGAAATTAAATCAATCAAAAAGGGCCAGAAACAATCGTCTACTAAACGTCAAAAAGTGGACAGCCATCCTGAAGATGTTCTATGCGAACTATGTGGATTTTGTTTTTCTGGATCAGTTGAAGGGCAAGGCTGGAACAAATGCCTGAAGTGCTTGAAGTGGTTCCATGCTCAATGCTACAGTAAGGTTGATACTATTTGTCCCTCCTGCACCTAAACAAGTTCATAAGGTTCCTTTTTAGTATGTTATTGTTATATTTACATGACATGTACATACAATGTGAAAATTAATCCATTATACCTGTACCTAAGCATTTAACTTTATCGCTATTTTTAGAGCACTACCGTTCTGTAATGTCATAAGAATAATTACTGTAAGGAGAGCAATAAACACCATCATCGTAAAAACCATCTTTCTTTAAATGTGTCACATTCAGAGAATGCATTGCATAATTTTTAAAATAGAGAAAAATTAAATTTACAAGACTGTCCATTTTACCCCCGCCACCTGTCCATTTTACCCCCACTACCTGTCCATTTTACCCCCGCCACCTGTCCATTTTACCCCCACCACCTGTCCGTTTTACCCACACCTAACTCAAATTATGAATTATTACACTATTTTTAATTTCAAAATTAATCATTAAATTTCGTAACTTCAAATAAATTAAGGCATGTAGTTTCTCAAAGCATACGTTTAACCTACAGAATACTGAGATTGCAGGCAAAATATTGCATTCAGCGTAGATAAAACTGAGCAAATCCTTAGGGTGTCCGTCTTACCCCCAGTACCCCTACTACGGCATCATAAATCAAGCTCTTGGTTTCGATACGGGTAGGGGTGAGTTCAACTTTGGAGTCTTAAATAACCGTTAAGTCAAGCTTCTGTATTAAATTTCGATCATATGACATCTGTCGGAACATAATCATAAACTTTATTCCGTGAGATGTTCAGCAATTATATAGGTAAACTGGCAACCTTATGTCTTCGATTGCTTGTATTTGGGTTTTTTCGTCATCATCATCATTTCCTCCCATCATCATTTGTTTAGATCAGTCAGTCAGTATCAGTAGCTCGATGTGAATAAACCTAAGTTCATAAAGTTAAGATTTTCTGTGTTGAAATAAAAGTGACATTCGGAGTACTGGCATCTCTGCTCTTCTAAAGTACATCGTATGCACTTTCTTCCCTGTTTGCACACTGTGGCCGTACTGTGGCCACAATTCGCAAAGTGAGACACAACGTAGGAGTAAGTTTTGAAAAAAAAAAATTCAGTTCAGCAAACAAACCTAGAAATCCCTTTCACACACTATAAAATAGAGTACCTTACGCTGCAAAACATGTCTGGTACCTCTACTTTTGCCTCGTTGGCGAATTTTCCATACAAGTAAACCGCTGGAAGTGGCTCCCGTTCTGGTAGAGGAGGCTTATTGGACAGCGGAAGATATAATGTTTATTATGTTGTACCTTTTGACTATAGTTTTAAGATGTATTGTATAGTGAACAAGAATCCTCGGGTCTGTAAAGTTAATTCGGTTGAGCCTTATGAAATAAATTAATAATAATAACACAAAAAATGCTTGCTCAGCCCCAGCCCCCAAAAAGATAAAATCCATCCAATGCTTAGTTCCATTTCTGATATCACTAGACCCCTCTTTAAAGATCCTATCTACTTGGAATTCCATGGACAATTCCCCAGAAAGCACTAGCACAAATTTGAAGAAAGAATTAGTAGATGAGGTCGTGTTGCCAAAAAAAGGACGCCACTATATTTCTGATGTGCATCTAAATGCATAAATAAGGTTGCAGGAAATTGGTACAGTGTCAGGTTCTCTATTCTGATGTCTGTGGGAGAGAAATCCCACATTGCGTGCCATCAAAACACGTGACATGTTGAGAGATTGGACTCGTGAGAGCGAATTTTCTGCCTAAAATTTTAATGTTTTGGCTCTCTGGGGCCTGATAGTCAAGCGGGTAAAAAATGAAAGGGAAAAAAAACGTTTGACATAGGACTACGTCTTTGTTTTCTATATGGGGGTACACTTTGTGAGTATGAAAAATGATCATGTAACGAAAAGGGTCAGGTTTTGAACGCATATTTCTCCAAAGCATGAATGTGAAATATGTAATGCAATATGCCATTCGACGGGTGCTTCATTCAGCAATTTCGTGGCATACAGTACAAATGATGCAAATAGGTAAACCACTAAGAAATTTAACTGAAATTGGTAGCATCAAAATTTCCCATACATATGCTAAGACCACAAGGTGTCTTTCCTAACGCAGTCATAGTCATTTGAAAATTTACAAAAACCACATTAGACCAATTTTTGGTAAACATTTTGAACTTTTTGTTGAAACATTATTCCATATAATTTATACTCAGAAAACAATGTTTCAGGCATTTTAACAACATATTTTACCAAACGTTCTTGTTCTATGATTTTTGTCAGAACTATTACGAAAATCTCAGAACTTTGAAAAGATCCGAGAACTTTGTAAAAGTGCCGAGAACTTTGGAAAACTTTCCGAAAACTTTGGAAAAGTTTTGAGAACTTCGTTAAAGTGCCGATAATTTGGGAAAAAGTCCGGTGGAACTTATGAGAATTTTGTAAAAGTTCTGAGAACTTTGGAAAAGTTCAGAGAATTTTGGAAAAGTTCTGAGAAGCTTTTTTTAAAAGTTCTGAGAAAATTTTAATTTTTTTTAGAACTTTGTAAAAGTTTGGAGAACTTTGTAAATGTTTTGAGACCTTTGTAAAAGTTCTGAAAACTTTATAAAAGTTCTGAAAACTTTGTAAAACTTCGGACAAC